TCCCTATGAAACCTTAAACTAAAATGGCACCCAACTTCTGGGTCAGAGCACAACCATATTCCCTGACTCAACTGGCAGTACTGACGTACCTGTTTGGAGAGTGCATCACGATGATGTCTGTATTTTTTGGCTTACACCAGTAAGAGCACAAACCCCCTCTATTCCATGCCCCACTGACTGGTGAGAAATGGTTGTTACCTTTTCCACAAGGCTGCTGTTCAACTGGTGAGCCTCTGTGCTGTGCCCTGATCCTGGAAATAGTGGGACTAGTTGAAGGATCTTGCTACAGAGATTATACCAAAAAGAAGCCAGCAGGCTGAAACAGCAACTCAGTATTTTCCTTTTTTACTTTCTTCTGACAGGAAAGATGAAAGTGACTGAATTAATTTTACATAAAATTAGCTATTACAGGAGAGAAAAAAACACTACTTAAAAAGAAAACAGTACTCAAAAATCTTGGCAAAGTTCATTACAGTGAGATTTTAAACATAGCTGACTTGATTCTTTTCTTAGTTATGTAAGAAAACTCATATGACATCTGCTCAGTATTTTCAACTATCTGAAGACTATTTTAGCCACCCTTTCTCTTGACTGCAATAATTAATCCAATAGTAGCGAGATCCCTCCAACATTAGAGGGGTTTCTCATGCCATGTAGTCCCCACGTATATATGTCATTATGAATGATAAAACTGCCAAACTGGGATGAAATTATCTACCACCAGCACCATGAGTATCTGTGAAGGCAGGATGCCCAGAGAGCATTAACACATCTCTCAACTGAATTTCCAATCTTCACATGCCTGATGGAGTGCATTACTACCCAATCCTAGGAGTCTCAACATGACGTAGCTCTTAAAATGATAAAACTACAAAGTAGTTAATATTTATGATAGTAAAGGTAACAATACAAAAATTAAACTCAGCTGATAGCAAATGTAAAATTGCATATACTTTTCAAACTGATGAAAACCACCCCTAGGACAAAAATCTAAATATAAATAAAAAGGGCAAAAGTAAAAGCTGTCATACTTTACATAAAAGTTAGTATGAGTGGTGTTCTACAGTGGTCTTAATACCCTTCTGCATAGCAAAAAGTGACACAGCAAAGCACGTCTAAAAGTATATTTAATTGCTTAAAGCTCATTTCAAATTAATGATCTATTAACAGGTACCACTTTAAGATATCAGCACATTAAAAAATTCCTGGGAAGAGAAAATCAATTTTTCTTGATAAACAAAAGAGGCTTAGTGCTCAGTAACCAAACTTCTTCAAGATGTCTATTAGTCTGTTCAAGTCTTGCGGCAACCATGCACCACAATCTGCGGCAGACACCCTAACCTCCAAAGGCTGCTCCATCTTGGCAGGCTTAAAGACACCCCATTTGTTTACTCACTACTTTGAACCTCTCCACAAGAGGATCACTTTGCAGATCATTTGAAAGGCTCAGGTGGTGAATACAGTAAGGCCTTTTTGCATCTTTAATTTGCAGTGAAGTTTCTCTCCTGTAGATTTAAGGCTAGTGAAAGGAAAACAGGTTAAATTTCCTGCTTCAAATTAAACAATGACAGTGGTAAATAGTTATCCAGAACAGGTCCTCTAGGAAAGGACTGTATAATGTCTTGGGTATCTTCTATCTTTCTAGTTGTGCTATGGCCAGGATGAAAACCACCACTGTGTAAAGGTGCAGTATAAGGCACGTGGCTAGCTGAGTTAGCTTCAAAGTTATTCGAACAGAATCAGATTCAGCTGCCATTACAGCTCCATCTCGGAACTGTAATCAAGCCCAGCAAAACCACAAAACTATTAAGTGAACCTAAGTCAAGGAACCTTCATCAGGAAGGTAACAGCTGGACATCATCCCTAGGCAGACTTTGATAAAACTGAACTCCGTTAGTGAGAACAAATCGTAGAATACTAGTGACTGAGGCCGCAAACTTCTGCTCAAAGCACCAGACCAAAAGCCTGTTTGGCCTAGTAGAACCTTCTTGCCAATGAGCATTTTCTTTAGCAGCATGGTTGAGATGATAGAGAAAATCACAAGCTGAACACGGGTGTTGAAGCAAAGCAAGTGTTCCACATATTCTGTATGGGTTCTTACCTCGCAGCAGGAGGAGGGGTGGAGGGAACCTCATCAAGACTTGAGAATCTTGGCACGTGGACAGCCGTATTTTACGATCCAAAAAGAAAAAAAAATCAAGTATCTGTAGAGTGATCAACCATATAGATCTTATAGTGTGCCATATTACTAGAAATCAGCAAACAGACCTGTTTCTGGACTTCAGCATTCCCATTAAAGTACGTTCAGGAGAGAATGATCTCTGCAACTTGAAGAATACCCAGAGAAAAAAAACCCAAGTGTGCTAAGATGTAGCAGAGGTTGAAGGACAGAAAGTAACAGAAGAACAGGAAAAATGATATGCTAAGGGTGACAGGCAAATGAGGTCTAGTTTGAAGAACACCACAGCTGAAGTAGATGCTCCAACTCATAGTAGATGACTGTGAAAGAAACTGAGGGAATGGTGTATGATTTAACCTTCCATGTTTCAACACAAGAAAAAGTGAATGCTAGTTCTTCTGTCCTCTTCAATAATGTTAAATCTAGAAACATTTGTCTCCAGTGTCTGTGGAACACAATCACTCACAACTTGAATTTGGTATTATTCTGAAATGAAAATGTTTAATAATTTTACATTGTTGAAACTGATTTGCACATACTCCTGAGAAAACTGTAATAATTTAAGATTAGTGATAAACCAATACATAATAAAACCTACACATTTAATCATAATTTATTTGTTTAAAAATATAAAAGTAATTCATAGCTTCAAAAATACACTTTTGACCCCCTTTTAGCTAATAATAGGATTTAACAATGGACTTGAAAATACTAATGTTACAGATGTTTACAAGTTAGATAGCATACTTGTAACTACTTTTAATGCATTTCTCTTAGCCATGCCAGATAACATAGCTTTTGGTCTTTATAAAATTTAAAAAAATCGAGCTACAAGCTAGACAGGAACTATCAGCTACAAAAATCCTGGATTTATTTTTTCAATGGAGTACTGAAAGCATATTTGCTTTTGTATTTCATCTAAATTTAGTGCACAAAAATATCATCACGGAGCTGGGTCAAATGCTTCCTTAGAAAGTCAACCAAGTGGTAACAGGCTACTAAGAAAATTTCTTTCTACACAATCAAGTTCACCACAACCCACTCCCCAACAATAATTTTACTTTCTTAGAAATGCCTAAAGAAGCATATGTGCCTTTTACCCTTCCTTAATGATTAACACACCAAAGATTTTAAAGATCAGAAGGGAGGCAAGTTCCTCAGTAGAAAACCCATCATAGGAAAAAACTCCCCATCTCTAGTACACGGTAGGATTCGAGCAGCTGGGCCACCCAATGGAGGTCACTGAAGGGACACAAACGCTGCAGCTGGACTACAGCTGTCATAGGGATGGTATGAAGGTTCATTATGATGCGGTAAGTAGCAGCAGGCGGGTAAGTGAAGTACCATATAATTTATGTATGTACCATCACAAATTTCAGTGATGGTTTTTACTGTCCTGTTAATGTCAAGATTTTATGAATATGAATTAAAACATTTTAATTCTTCTATAATCAAAATGCCAACTTCTACCAGTGCAGGGAACGTTTCATTGCTTGTAGCCAGATATCCATAGCAGGTTTGTATTCCTCCAAGTCCTTCTGGGGCTCAAAAATGGCTTCTATTCGCCTTAGCTTCTTTAGTTGTTCTTTGTCAGTCCAAAATCCTATAAACAGAAAGTTCATTCTCAAGCTCAACTGCAAATATGTTATTTTAGAGTTGTTTTAATTTATTTCCAAGAGATCCAAAGCAGAAACACAGTAAGAAATCATGACAGCTTTTCTTTACTCAACCAACAACTTTCTCAGAGGGAAACATATTTTTAACATGTGAAACTCCTTTCCAATAGCATCCACTAGTTTGGAATCCTGACAACAGCACATCTGCTTAACTGGGATGGTTTCCAAGGAACAGCTCTGGTACACTGAAGTTCCCTTAGGTTCCATCCACACTAGGCTTTTGGCTGCAGCTCCCTCTTACTGAAGAAGGGCCACAGAAACCCAGACTTCGCACTAGTTCCTTTCTACTGTCTTAAAAATTGCATAAATGGCAGAAAACTGCTGGTGTACACATTCAGATTAATTTATGCTATTGAATCATTCTTGTCTATCAAGGGCTGCAGCTTTCTTACAGTTTTTTAATTGCTCAATAAGTCTTACCTGAGCATATACTTTTTTATCTTACTGTTGTGTTATTTACATATCAAAGCAACTGAATGAAGTTAATATCCCCCTACAAAATATACTGCCATTAAGCAAAACCATTGACAGTTTGTATTTTTAAGTCTGGTTAATTATATACAACAATTCTGAGTACAGCTGGATTTTTTTTTCTGTTAATAATTTATTTTTTACTTCCATTGTATTTATTTCTGTGAAAACCTTAAAGAATAAAGACTCGGCTCACAGATGACAGGACATAACTTCAGTAGGAATGACACAGCTGCACGTAAGCATGGCAGCTTCGTTGTCACATGATCCATCCCCACCAAGCACCACTCCAGACACTGGCAATACGGGAAGGGATGCCTAGTGTCCAGGTCAAGAAAGAAGGAGGTGGCAATATAAGGTTCACCTCTTTCTTCTTCAATCATATATCCTTCTAAATGTAAATTCGTCTTACAAATATGTATGCAGATACTTTTCACATTAAACTCACTGTCACTATTCATTTATATAAAACTAAACAAGCATACAAATGCTCAGTAGATTGGGACATAGTGTTAGAAATACAAATAAGGTCCTTGATTTGGTTTACCTATGACGTTTATCATCTGTTTCTTTGGTCCATCAAATGCAAGTACATGGGTACAAATGCAGAGAAACATAAACACTACTTACCTTGGATTCCCACAAAATGGCTAAAGTTTGGGGAGTTTTTACAGTTATTTGAAGTTATGCACTGGTTTTTTCTGATTTTTTGTCCTTATTTACAAACATGCATTATGAAGGGAAAAACAAAACCTCTTTAAATGTATACATACCTGAAGCAAGGCCTGCTAGAAAAGCTGCACCAAGACTAGACATGTCTGCATTTGCAGGTTTTTCTATTTGCCTATTAATTAAATCTGAAGTCATCTGCATAACAAAACTATTATTACTGACACCTCCATCAGCTCTATAGGGAGAGGGGAAGAAAAAAATTTTAAAAAGAGATTAAATTCAAATGCGTATTGCCAACATTTCAGAAAATAACTTCCAGGGTTTCACACTTATGCATAAATTTTCCTATCACTCCTGCACAAATGCATTTTCACTTTATGGGCAAATTTAGAGGCCAGCACAAGGTGCCTAGGAAAAAAAAAAAGAATGGGAGAGGAACAGCAGACAGACAGGGCCAGAGGGCAGACACATTATCAAAAGCTTTGAAAGCTCTGTCTTCTAAAACTACACACCATCCTGGTTGAAATTTAAGGTTTGTAACAGAACTTTACATTGTTACCACCACCACAAGACACTAGTTAAAACCATTAAATTAAACAAACCGTTTCAAGTTCTCTCAGATATGGAAAAGTACTTTTTTCATTACTACCAAATCTTTGTATTAGTTAGCCAAAATGCCTTCATAGTTGCTTCTTTTTATGAGGAAGATGAGAGTGAGGCTTCCATCTATCTATTTTCTTAATTGCATCATGTCAGAAGCCCTTTTAATGGAGAAAACTAGAACTTATCAATGCTGATCTTTAAACACGAGAGTGATTACTAGTGCTGTAAAGAAATCACTCCTGCAAACAAAAAGTAACTATAACAAAAAGCAATCTTTGAATTGCCAGATTGGTTCGTTATGGCGTTGGACTCCTATACGAGTCAGATATGGAGCTGTTGTTCAATCAAATGTGGTGCAGTAAAAGACATCTACTGTTTATTACTATAGAAACTGTTGGGTAATAAAATTTAACAGTTGCTTAGAAATCCTCAATTCAAACATGCCAGCTGAAATTTTTTATACTACGTGATGCCTCAGAAAACTTTTGCACAAATGTTTTGGCTGTTTCCGAAAGTAAAATCAGGAGATACTGCCTGACTGGTGACGTTACAGGATTTTGCTTGTTTGTACATACAGTTAAGCAGGGTTACCACCTCTACACTGTGGCATTAAAACCTTTAACTGGTAAAGTCACTTTCTTAATGCCAGTGACTTGCATTTTCCTTCTGTAAAAATAAGACAACCATTTGATTCAAGTTACAAGGGGAAAAAAGAAAATTTCCAAATTTTCTTTCCAAATCAGTTTTATATTTAGCTAAATTTTGCTGCTAGATACTTCAAAGATTCAATCTGTACAGTGCAACTTCTAACTCAAAATTCCTACGTGCCATCTGACCGGGGATGTGCTATTTCACAGAACAAGTAAGTAGGTGACATTCCAGGACTCCAGGGACCAGCAGGATCATCCTTGTAAAGGCTGCTGCAGACTGCTGTAACATAGGACGTGAGGACTACAACTGACGGTTCCTTCTCTCTGCTTTCCTCGGCGGTGCTGAGATAGGCACAGAAAAGTAACAGGAGTGTAGAGGACTAATGAAAACAACAACTTTGCAGGAGCTTGTAGGAGCCAGAGACCAGGCAGAAAGGAGGGATAAAGGACATCAGGTAAAAAGGGAATTAACATATTTATGGCATAAAAACAACAACAAAATCAAAGGTAATGGATAGATACTAAAGATGTGCGGACAAAAGGATAGGAAAGTGATTTACAACCCTACTGAAAAACCCACTAAGTGATTCTCATTTTCTTCTAATGCTTAATTCACAAGCTGGATTGCTACTGATCGTAGTTAACTATTACAGTCACTATACAAAACAGCAACTTTATACTAATGAATAAAACATAACATGTTCATACAATTTAAAGTTTACATTACAATGTAAATGGGATTAGAATTCTATCATTCCCTAGGCAGTACTTCCACACTTCCCGTTTTTCAGTTTTCAGTCTTAATATGACTTCTCAATTTTTGGATGCAATTTTGTATGTAAAAAAGCTTCCTAAGGAATAAAAAAAATCTAGTATTTTTCATCTTTTCCGCTTCATTAAAACCCCAAGCCTCACTGTTCCTTCATCTTTGCCTACACTGTCCCTGTACGTGACGGAAGACAGAAACTTTTAGCTCCCCACTACTTTGTACTTTCAACTTTTCTTCCACTTCTCAAAAGTCTGATTTCTCAAAACTGTCTACATGTCTGCCAGTCTACTTCTTCCTTTGCACGGGTCTCAGGAAAAAAGCCAGAGGAGGGACAGACACGCTGTCCTCTGTTCTTGATCGTGGTATCATGGAGACCCCTGGCTGTCAGGAGAAATTCTGGGGAGCTTTTGCAGCATGGGAGGGCTTGAGGCTCTAAGGACAACTGCTGTGGTCCAAACGAAGTACCTACCAAAATGTGCAACGCAGTTTTCCAGCAACACGTAATTCAGCTAAATTTTTCCAAGACTTTGTGAAAAGCATATTCTAGGGATCACGGTTATCTCACTAAGTTTGATTTGTTTCTTCAAAGACTGAAGCAAAACCAGTATCTTAACAACTGAATTGTAAAAATATTCTTCCTCTTTCCCTTATAAACACATCCAGTTTTAACCATCTTCAAATATATTCAGTCTGTGACAGACTCAGCACAAAAAAATTTCAGTATGTAAGAATGATAATAAAAGGGTAGAATTACCTTTCTAGAAGGCATTGCTATATGCATGCTAGCGCTACCTGAAAACATGAATTTGCTTTTTTTTTTTTAAAAAAAGAACAATTTATTACTCACACAGTGATAATCACCAATGCCAATGATTTAATTAATAACTGACCATGGCATGGGTAGTCTCTACTGCCACTTTTAAAGTTACTTTAACATTAGACTTTGCAGTCATCTATTTCTTAGCAGCAAAATTTTTACAGTAAGATAAAATGCACAGTAAAGTTCACACCTGTTTAAATCAAACTCCCATGTATTAAATTTAAATTACATGGAACTTACCGAATAGTTTGAAGAGGAATGCGTACCTTCTTCACAATGATATCATAAAGCTGTTTGTTTCTTTAAAAAAATATTTAGTTGAATTAAGCATTATATATTCCATAAAGTGTTTCCAGTATCTACATAGTCAGAAAATAAAATACAAGGCAAAAAATGCCTCAGTTGTGTCAGAACTGCTGCAACAGTTAACAAGTTTCCAAAATGCGTAAATAAAAAGACTGAAACTGGTCCTTGTTATACTTCATTATGAAGGCACAAGTATGGCTAAATCATGGCCCATTCTATACTAAGTCTGTAGAAGGTACATTTAAGGTACATCATCTGAAACTGATGATAGGTTTCCACAGACGAGATCAATTGTTGATGTAACAAGTGGTTTGAAGTAAGGAAAGTAGGCTGACAAGAGTGTTAATCAGAGTTTATCCAGCTGTTCTTTAAAGATAACCTCTGAAGGCTGTAAGTTTGACTTGTTCTGAAAGCATTTAATTCAATGGGAGAAAATCCAAACACAAAGGATCTCTACCCTTTTCTAGTTAGGTATTTGAATGAGATGAGATCCTGTACATCCTTGTTTTCAAGGGACCCATGCTTCAGTTCAGGGATTATGGCATCTCACATTTCTTTTATGGTGCAGAAAAAAATGCATTAGAAACAGCTGCAGCAATTCAGAATGTTACCATCCTCCAGACATCCTTTCTGCCTCTGTGCAGGAGGTTATTATGCCCAAAGCAGAGCTGGTGACTAGGTGGAAGGAACCATACCAGTGCCCCCTAATTGGTCACAGAGCAGTGTAAGCCAGGCTCAAACCATATTCCACTTCAGTCCAAGGCATGCTGGGTGAGTTTGCAAGACAGAACCAATCTGCTCCACAGCAAGCTACTGATGTGATATCATCAGTCACTAGCAGTAATATCTTTAACCGTGACTATCAGATCTGGAAGTTTTGTCTATTCACATCTTCAAAGATGTTTAAGATGCCTATTACTGTGTTTTATAAAACACCAAAAACTTTAGCCAAAGAGCTAATATAAAATTATCACCTTCAGGGATACTTTAAACACAGCTGGAGTGGGCTACAGCTTCTGACAAAACACTGTCAGGACACTAAGGACAACCTTTAAACAGAAAACATTTGAGAACGTGGAGAAAACAGTATAATTTAAGAACTCCTATATGGTTACTTAATAACAAAAACTGAGCTAATAAATATACACGATTTTATTTGTAAAGTGTTAAAGAAAAGAAAAAAGGAAGCCGCTAAAACTCCTTTCAATGTAACAGTAACAGATTACTACAATTTATATTTTACAAACTGCAGAATCCATGTATCCATTTAACACTGCTGATCAAAATAAAAGCAAACATAAGAAAATATAAGCAAGATACATAAGTAAGCAGTACCTGAAAGCTACAGATTCCAATATAGCTCGCACAAGATGGTTTCTGGTAGTGGAAGGTTTCAGACCAATGAAAGAGGCACATAAATATGGGTCATTCACAGAAACCTGCAGAAAGGATTTCACCGTGAGTTCAATGAAGTGTATTTGTAGGCTTTTGAGAAAGGAGTCAAATAGTAAGAAAAAAAATAACTTACGACAATTACAGGCAGCATAGTGAAAGAAGAAAATTGAAAACAATACGTAAGAGGTATATAGTGTTATTTCTAACTCAGTGAACAGTTTAAATAGCTGCTTTCAAGAGGAAAAAAGTTTAAGTGACTTCTTCCAAATTTGACATACTAAGTAACACTATTTTGTATGAATTCTCTTTAAAATGCACATAGTGTACACTAAGTGTCTAGGACAGAGCACATTGGTATTGCTGTTCTCTAGCAAGACCTTACACACGTGCTTTTTTTTTTTTTAAACACTCCTGAACTGCTGAAAGATCAACTGACTTCTAAAAGTAACACTGAAAAGGATAATACTTTTTATTAGTTTATACTACAGCATTTTTTCAGTGACACTGATAAACAGTCCAACTAAAATGCTAATGATCACTAAATTGTCTTCTCTTTGCAGGAGAACTGGAGGATCAATTGATGAATCTCCTCTTGACTCCTCTGATGAACTTTATCACAAAATACTTGTTTGCTGGTCCATGCCTGATTTGTGACAATATTAAATATTATTTTCACTGTAGACAGTAATTTTTAAATTGAAACAATCCTTTTCAGTTGTATTGTACTAAATATCAATTATGACAACACGTACCAGAAGTTTGAATTTCATGCTTATTAAATACATACAAGAATATTTATAAAGTAAATTATGAAAATGCTAACATATGTTAAAAAACCCCACAAACATATGGATAGGTACATACAGCCAAAAAGAAAAATAGCATTTTGCAAAAATTTCTAAATAGAAGAAACTTCTGCATTAAAGTAAATGAAAATACTGGGGTTTTTTTTCCATATGCAAGTACCCTTCCCATTCTAAGAATGGAACCACTTCTCCAGCCCAGTAGCGTAAGGATCAATGGCTTCCAAGTTTACAGATTTTCATATGCAAGATAGACTCATATTCTACGTAAGGGTGAGTATCTTGAAAGAAAAAAAATAGCAGTGCATATATGTGCATACACCCCAATGAAGAGTCCTAAATTTTGCTGTTACTAACCACAGCAAATTAACTCTGGAAACTCCTGTTTCTACCAGAGTAAGTTAGAAAAAAAAAATAATTAAAGCACATATCCACGCAATTTCAAATACACTTTCACAATGATGCTCCTCTCGGTGTGCTGCAACACAGCAGTAGAATTCATTAAGAAACTTGTTCTTATTGCTTTAACATGGACAAGTAGAGAAACATTGTACTCTGTGGAGGAAATGAACATATGGGCTTCATCAGAACCCTCCCCAACCACAATCACTCTGAGGTCTAAGAAACATTACCGTACAATCAGTTTGTGTTAGCATCTAGCGAGTGAAGCTAAGCACACGTCACAGTACCCAAAGTGTTCACCTGTGTTCATGTCCTTTTTCATATCACTTAATCCACTCAGTTTCTAAATCTATACAGATACTGTTACTGTGAGTGTACTAGCTAAGCAGGTTCCACTGAAATAAGCAGGGCTGTTAAAAAGCAAAGAAATTCACACTGGTGTATACTATTAGAGGTAACTAGATGTCACAGTTAAAGAGAAATCTATTCAGTTCTCTAAGTACAGCTTCTACATTTGGACTGGGAATAACAGAATTAGGGCAGAAGAGACTGAATCAATGTTTATCAAGAAGCTAGCTGGGGTTCCTTCTGAGACAGTGTCAAGAAAGCAAGGGGAGACAGACCCACAAAGCAAAACAAAACCAACCAAACAAAAAAGAGGTTTTTACCAACATCTGTAGAACACAAATATTAATAGAATTAAAGGTTCAAAAAAGATTCAGACTAACATTTGTCTACCACAGGATTCCTGTCTGCAAATATTGAAATTTGGCATGGCTCAACATTTGCTTATTCACAGCACAATTACTCACAGTAAATGTTAAATGGAAGCATCTCAGCATAACCAAGCATTATACCCCTAAAAATAAATATAACTGTTAGGTTGGCTGTTTGAGAGAAGGTAGCTGGGCTACCTGCAGAAGAAATGAAATTTTAATTTGCCTTATGCCATTAACATACAGAACTGACAGAAAGGTAAGGTTTAAGATACTAAGTTTCTTTAGAAAAAACACTAGTCCTACCGAGCATGGTAGACCAATGAAGATCAAAATAAAATGCACTTTTGGACCCACAGAGAGAGAGAAGCTTTCAAAAACATTCCATGTAGCTCTAAAACTTATGTATTAAAACTAAAAAATTACTATCTGAGCCTTCTAAGAGAAAAGAAAAGGTGGTGATTTCTGAGAAAAAAATTAAAATACTATTTTCATTTTAATGGCTTTTCTTTGTTTGGTTAACTCAGTAACTTCTGAACACCTGACAGGTTCAAGCATCAGTTGCCTACACATCAAAGAACCACTGGATGGCAGACATTACTCAGCCTCCACAGCACAGCAACAACTTTCCCTCCATCTTGCCTGGTCCATCTATCCAATACAGTTTATAACGCTAATATTCCAAATGACAACTTGGAGACCAGGGCTACACCACAGTTTCTCCTAGACAGCAACACTGATTAGAAAAACAAAGTTTTGTGGAGACATGGATACTTTCACGTTGACAAACCCACAATGTAGAAACAGCTATGCTGCTGAAAACGTGCTTTTAGTCAGATTATCTCACGTTGCTTAGTTAAATGACATAACTAGATGAAAAAGTTTTGGGGCTCTGCATAGTCCCTAAGCTAGCAACAGCTATGTTAGCAAAACCAGTTTGTTTTCATTCTGTAAGAAGGTTTAAGAGCTCTGACTTGCACCTCTGTCATATTTTGTGGTGACAAATAACAAACTATTATTACCAACTGTCAAACCCATACTGGAAGCAACTGCTTTGTATCTGAATAGGCAGTATGTCAGCTCCCCAGCTACCACAATTTGTCATTTAATGTAATGTATTAACTGGAATTCCCATCAATTCCAATCTAGACTAATATGCTAGACTGAAGTGCAGCATCAATATCACCCTTGTTGCTGTCTTTGCACAGACAGTAACTCACATATGTAATGAATCTCAAGAGGGATCATGAATCAGAGGTAGAAAGGACAGACATGAGGATACACACATCTCTAGCATAAATGGAAAGCAAGTATAAAGAACTCGGAGCTTTTGACCCAGAGGGGATCAAGTAATTGCAGGAAGAGGAAGATAAAAGCAAGCTACTGGGAAATGGAGGGGACTAAAGTGGAGAACAAATGCCAGGAACTCCTTACTATACACATAGTACACTCTACTTATGGTCAGCAACAAGGCACAAACCCTATTTCAAAGGAAAAAAAAAATCTAATTAATATTAAAATCTGCATATCAAAGAGGTGTCTAAATATTACTATCTTTGCTTTTCGTAACACCAGGACTTGGAATCTTGCTCATATTTAAGTACATTTAAATATTCTGATGAATTTCAACCTACATCTTGAAAAGAGCCAGAGTAAAATTAATTTTTTTAGAACCGTGCTTAGAAGTATTGTCTCAATGAAGGCGTTGCATCAGGCAGAACAGCTATGGGATTGGTTTCTGTCTCTGCAGGCACTGCCTGAGTTACTGTGTGCAAGTCATTTAGTTTATCCATACCCCAGGTCTCCATCTGCAAAATGGAAGTAATTTTCCCATTTCATAAGGTTTTTCTCGTGAGCGGGTGGTGTTTAAGCATTCTCATACGACAATGATCTTCATACATTGTGGTGAGGGACAGAGTAGTACAGAATAAATATTATAAGATGAAAATTACTACATTTAAACAGTTAAGTTAAAATTTTAACTGGGTTGTTAAAATATATATTCTCAATTATATTAATAATTTTACCTGAAAACCTGGAACAAAACAAACGCCTTGAGAATCAACAATACTCCGTGCCATTTTTTCTGTTTCATCAACATTAGTGAAAAGATCTGTAAAGATGCAGAAGTCATATACTTTTATTATTTACTTCAATTTCTTAATATATTACAAAGAGACAAAAATCTAGATTCCCCTTGCAATATTCTCAAACTACATGTTCCAAGGGAAAAGATCACTTCTCCTGTATTTCATGTCCATCAGATGCATTAAAAAAAAATCCTATTCAGATGAAGACTAAATTCAAAAGGATCCTCTCATACCTGTTATGCCTTTTAATCTTCACACCCTCTAAGAGGTCACTGGCTTTCCAAATAGACATAAGTGGGAACTGAGAACGCTAACAATAGCACCCTAAGTATGCTAAAAGCCTAGATTTGCAAAACATAAAAAATGTTTCCCCCCCAAAGATTTTGTTATTGTCAGTCCCAGTACTAAATGACTACAGAAATAGTCCTTAATATTAATCATATTTTATCAGCACCTTTAATATTTTTACAAGTGAGTGACACAAATATGAATAAGGTAGGTCCTAATACCACCTCTTTCATAGACACTGCTTTTATTCTTGGTCTAGCCAGATGTCTCCTTTCAAAACTCCACAAACATCCCTCTTTAACTTGCTCTTTACTCATATGCAGTTCTTGTACTAACACCCATCTTCTGTAGTTATAGCTAACGATGTTCTTATGTGGCCACATACCATGTTTTCACAGAAGACTAGAGGTCTTCTATAAATAAGAGCTATTGCTTTTTCTTGTCTAAAAAGTAAATTTTCCTATCAACGATAAATTATGTTAACCTAACTCAATTTATCTTTGAAAAACTCATCTTGGTAACTTACCAGGAGTTTCAATTTACCTTTGTAACCTTCATAAATCTGTTTGAAAGCTTTGGATTCTACTGTGCTCACACTAATAAGCCTAAATCATATCTTTTCCTTCTTGTTGTATTTGCTATTACTGAACTATATATAGTACCTCTATGTCAAGACAGAAAATGAAAAAAAATAAAAAAATAAAAAAATTGACTTCACCTTGAAATTCCACATACTACTTTTTCAAAATTCTTAGAAGTGATCTAATCCCACTAAAAGAAGCCCATTAACCTAAGTTTGCCTTGCTGCAGAAATTCCTATTTCCAAACCTTTACCACTATTGTATGTCTCATCTTCATCCATGCTGAGCCTCACCATCCTTACTAATGCTATTACCTTACCTGGTGTTTTGACCCAATTCCTTCTGTAGAGCAAAAGTTTTACCCTTCTCTTTATTTGTAAAACTGATAAAAGTTTCTGAATTCTGCTTCTCTGCAATCATATTTCCAGAAAATAAAGACCTTACTTATTAAAGAGTTTATAGCAACATGCCTATTTTTTTATCTCCCTCTAAAACTTCCCCAATTTTTGCCTGTGGTAACAACTGCAGGTCATGTCCATTTCACTACTGGCTAGCTAAAAATACTTTATACTATTGCTCTGCATATACCAATAAAATCCATTTTAAGTATGGATAAGTTATATATGGATAGGTATCCATTTTAAGCATGGAATTTGAAGTAGCAAGCTTGTATATGTACCACAGATAGTTGCATCTGCAGCACTGAACTGTGTATTGAATTGAGTAATTTCCTCAAAAGACTAGTGGCTGTTATTCTCTAGGCTCAGTCAAATGTTGAATTATGAAGACCTGAGGACCAACCTGAGTCATATGTAATCCTTAAGGGCACATACATGAGCATGTATATACACATATGCACCAGAAGTTGACAACTTCAAGAAACATGGAATTTTATGATGAGCTACACTTCATGAAAACCTTTCCCAGATAACCCAGAGTTTAAGACACTAATTCCTTTTTTGCACCCTAGTAAAGGTGTACTAAATTTCTAAGTAAACCAAGTAGATAGTTTATTAGAACACTCAGAAAAGTTGTCCTATAAACAACGAGTGGTTTTGAACATCAACTACTATAAGAGCTAGTATTTTTCTTAGTCTTTTGTTAATTTGGAATGCAAATCTTTTCATTACATAATAGTCACAGCCAAAAGGCACGCTACTTCTGTGTGAAGCAACACACACAACACTTACTTTCAAAAATAAAGTTCTTCACGTTATTTTCATATAACTCAAACCTGTTATTAATTCTAAGATGTACAGCTAGAGATCTCTGAAAAACATTACAGCAACTGTTCATGGAATATTGCATTTACAATCATGCTCCCTAAACTTAATTGGTATTCAATTTCTGTCTCAACTGAAAATTCAAGTCCAAATACCCTAAAACAGCACACATTTAACTTTAGACGTGTCTCCTTTATACCATTTCTATTCAAGTCTGGATATCAGGTTAAAAAACAAAACAAAACAAAAGAAGGCATCAGGAAGTTTGTTACACACAATAGAAAGCAAGTGAGGAAAACAAAAGCCTACACAGGTAGGAGGGTCTGAGAGGCAGAGTCTGATGAGAAGATGATTGTGCAAAGCAAACCCCCTGCAGTAAACATGCTCAGCAGAGAACTTACTAATAAGACTGTGCATTATCCACTGCCCAAAAGATGTAGGCTAGTTTCTTCAATTAAGGATAACAAAACCAAGCAAAACCCATACCTAAACACCATTAAAAAGTTTCTTAAGTAGTAATATATTTTACTCTCTAAAAAATTAAAGAACTACTTACTTATATCCTGAGCCCATTTTATGGCAGTGCCAATGTCTGACATACAGCCTTCAGTTAAGTAAACAACTTCTTCCCCAATCTTCCAACCAATCAGTGGATACAGACCTTAATTATTTTCCATGAAACAAAACAAAACACCTAGTTAAGTTAAATGTTTCCAGAAAAACATATACAAGCACCCCCCACAATAAACCCTACTAAAAAAAAAAATTAGTTTTTATTCAATTCCTTTGCAGAATTCAAGCTAAAAAATGCCACTGATAGAGGTTAAATGTATTGTTTAAAAATTCAGTGATGCAATTACAAGACTCGAACAACAATTTGTTAAACCAAAGTTAACCTAAAAATAAAAATCATTACCAAATTACAAAAAAAACCCCTCTTTAAGCTAAAGAGAAGAGCTATTTGCATTTTTTTAAAATGATAAGAGATTGTATATACTTAAAAAATTATCAATGTTTTCCTATTTGTTTTCAATCTATCTAATCTTCCCCAATGGTTTCTGAAAAGTCAGAATTTACTTCCCCAAAACATAAAACATGAAGGCTGAGCTTTCAGATGGAAAGCACAAATACTCTAACAGACATAATACACACACACAAAAAAAAAGCAACACAAACTTAGAACATAGATCTTGTTCACAGAAGAGGATGAAAATGATACAATTTTTTATTCCTTTATCAATACGCAATTCTTCCTCACATAGAAAACAAAGACAGAAAAGTTTCACAATTTGCCCATCCTTGTCCCCAACAAAGGCTACTGCCAGTTAACTATAGCATCTTACCTGTATGTTTGCTTAATATAAACAACAAACTCATAAAAAATATTTGGTGACATACTTTGTATATAACTACAAAAGATTATATTAGCACTTCTATGTTTTACATGATGGGATTTGCAGGAAGTTATAACCTTCACCAAATAGTTTTGGCTTTGCGGTGACTCAAAAAAAAATTTAAAAAATTCACTAACTTCGAATATTTTTTTTCCTTATCCCTCAGAAGAAAGGCAGAAATACATAGGGCAAACGTTAGTTTATTTGAAAACACAGTACAGCATCTTTCAAAGAGCTGTCTCCTTGAAGATACTTTATCATCAGAAATTATCAGCCAATACTGAGGATAAACCTGATGATTTGTTCTCCCCTCTGTCCCCACAAGGATATGTTTAAACCTTAACAAATAAAAGAGAGACATACTACTTAAAACTGTCAGTGTCAACATGAAGATCTTCTTGTTTGATATCTCTATTAGTAAGGACATAGCACAAAAGTCCTGCAGAATACTGCTTTTAATGCTAAAGCAAAAAGACTTAGTCGTCTAGCTGAACAGTAAATGTTCTCCAGCACTGCAGCTGGACAAATGGTTTTTCAGGTCATTCAATAAAAACTTAAGCATTCAGTGGCCACTGCAATAAAAACATCACCTAACCCAAGTACCATAAGTGAGAAAAGCACCATGACCTCACAGGACCGTGCTCAGGACTCAGAGATCATAGGTAATGCTACAAAGGTAAATGAGTCCCAGTAACGGCTAGGACCAGAAAAGCATCAGAAGGATCTAGGGATTCTCTCTACTTTCTCAAGGTGACTTTGCTGATATACACTTGTCTCCAGTTTGCTCGTCTGTGTCCAACAGAGTGGCATGGTAGTACTAGTGGAATTGCAGAAACTTGGTTAGTGCTGGAGACACTCTGGTGCTTACAAGGGAAAACAATTAGCAGTACCTATGTAAAGTTTGCATTCGTCTCTTGAAAGGAAAAGGCAATATACTTATCTCCAGATCCTTGGTGCAGGTCTCCCTTACAATCTTTATTTTCTATCAAAGGTGAAGCTGCAAAGCAGCAAGACCAAACAATTCACTAAGCCTAAAGTCCCAGAGAAGGACAGCTAATTAGGGACAGATGTCCATCAGGTGGCCTTCCTAAAGATGCTCACACCAGAACCTCTAGTAGTGTAAGATAATCTACCTCTAGGGATCAGATCAACATGAGATTTGGCATGACCACAGTTACTAAGCACTATCAGACTGCTAGAGAGATAGATTTAAAATCTATACAACGTGTTTCCATTATTGAATTGTGAGAAGTGCTGTTCTCGAAGGAACTTTTTTTTTTTTTTAAACTGTCATATATAGAAACTAAAAGTAGATCAGAAACTAGAACAGCAGCTAATGAATAGCTTGCACAAGGATGCTGTAGGGATTCATCTTGCAGTCTTAAATACACATGTCAACTTTAAAGATTGAACAAATTACATTTCATGCCCAGGGCACTGAGAAAGCTAGGTACCTAGCTTGTCCTACTAACCATACCACATGACAGCCACAGAACATAGGGGAAATAATTTTAATGTAAGTAACAGCCTAAAGCAGTAAACGTTTCACAGCACTGCCTTAAAGATTTCAACTCCTGTTAGATCACAATAGCCATGTATTTTCTTGAAAGAAACAAAATGGAAAAACCTTACAGCATGTTTCGCTATTACATTTCCACAAACTACATACACCTGATTTCCTAAGTAAAAGTATCAGCACAATGACATCATTAATGAGCCTAAAAAGCATTTGCATTCATAGGGATTTCGATGTCCATGCTGTTCAGTTCTGACACATCTCCCGTACTTGCCAAGGTCCTTCCAGACTTTAGCCGGTAAAAGTCTCCTTAGCACACTGCTGTCCTCCTTCCCAGCCCCACCCCGCCTATGTTAAATTGTAGGCTTCCTGAAATAAGTAACTGTTTAAAAATATGACAGAGAGAGACCGTGCAGGCAAATTTACTTCAGTGTCATCTGTTGCTCTCTTGACAAATAGTTGTCTATGACAAATTAACAAGCTTGACAGACCACAAATGTTCAGAACGACAAAGTTTTAAACACTAGAAACACACTGGGGAGTCCATTTCTAGCGTTTTTAAAAGAAAACTAGTAATTGCTAATCCTGCATTATCTCACTGCAGGTTCTTCACAGGATAAGGGCTCAAAAGGAGGAACTTACAGCGATCCACTGGAACATTTTGATGTGAGAAGCCAGAGGACCAATCCTCTTTTTCTCCATTCCTGCGCTGTATAATACTGCTATCAAGAAGAACAGGTGAAGCAAAAAAAAAAAACCCAACAGGAGGGATGCAGGTAGCAGACATAATTATTAGTGATGTTACTTAAATTCTCTTCTTGAGAAGCGTATTTCAGAATAACCAAGATCTACATTTCTAATTAAAACCTTCCACAGTCTTCTGTTCTGAAAACACTTTCAAGCTGTTTTTCTACAGCTAAGGACAGAAAGAAAAGCATAGCCCTGTTTTATCCCTTTTTGTACCGTCATCATTAACAGCTGTCAAGTAACAAATACTCTAAAACTAAAATTTCACTAAACTTACTTCCCCGTGATGCAAAGAGATGCTCTCCAGTATTCACATTCCAGAAACCACCTGTTCCCATCGTCAGTTTAACATCTCCTGGGTGAAAGCAGCATTCTCCAAACATGGCTGACTGCTGATCAGCTACCTGCCGTATCATCAAAAACATTACCACAAGTTAGCTACCAACTACCAGCCTACAATGCTGCTGGATTTTAGAATATCAATGCAAACACTTCAGAGTTCTGAACATAAATAACCATTCAGAAAGGAATTGAGCATTACGAGAGGATTCATATACAATTTTTTAAGTATTTTCAGGCCATTCCAACAGTCAGATTTATCACCAGAATCAAATGATATCAGGTTTGGACAAAACGTGAATGTCTGTAGTATTGCTTGCAACACTGGAGAATGTGTTATGAAAACAAAATAAATATTTTATATTTTAGTATTTGACAAGGATAAACGGGGCATTTGCAATGCCAAGGAGCAGAACAGAACAGATTGGCTTGAATTCCTCTTCCCC